ACAATAGCATGTACTTTTCCTTAAGCATGAAACTGGGAGTTCTCATTCAATTCCCACAAGGACCCTTCAAGGTTGGCTTATGAGAGCCTCAACTTACAGATATGAGAGAACAGGGTCTGCAACGTGAGCTCCCTGATTTCTTCCTGCCAACTACAGGAAGGCAGGGACCACACCTTTTCCCTGCCACAGCCCTAACCCCTACCAGGCAACCAGTAAGTATTTCCCAAACAAATGAACTGCAAATTTTCGACCTCCAATGTCAACTGGCCCCTGCTTCCTGCCTGGTATTGTATAAAGTTCCTTGATTACCTCCTAGAGTTTGGTTGGTCCTCAGCCATACACACCAGAGTGGGTCAGACTGGTTGTCAGAGCTGGTGCCAGCCTGTATCACTTAATTTAAAAACATATCATTCTTGGAGGGACTTCCCTGGCGGTCCAGTGGTTAAGACTCTGCACTTCCACTGCAGGGGGCGTGGGTTCTATCCCTGGTCAGGGAACTAAGATCCCGCAAGCCACGCAGTGAGGCCAAAAAAATTAAATTAAAAATAAATAAATAAAAATATATCACTCTTGGAAAAGCAATAATAATAAACATGTCTTAGACAGTGCTAAGCACTTCATGTCTGAGCTCACTGAAGACTTACACACCAGGCCATGAGGGTGACAATCTTATTATCCCATTCTACAGACAGGGAAACCAAGGACCAGTGAGGCAGGAGCCTGAGGTCACAGGCCGAGGAGAGGCAGAGAGAGATCACAAGCCCAGGTTTGTTCTTTTCTTTTTAAGATTTTTTGGATGTGGACCATTTTAAAAGTCTTTATTGAATTTGTTACAATATTGCTTCTGTTTTATGTTTTGGTTTTTTGGCTGTGAGGCATGTGGGATCTTAGCTCCCCGACCAGGGATCAAACCTGCACTCCCTGCATTGGAAGGCAAAGTCTTAATCACTGGACTGCCAGGGAAGTCCCCCAGGTTCGTTCTTAATCTCAGCAGAAGCCCTTGGTCCCTAGTTGGTGGAAAAAATGAGGGGCATTAGGCGTGGACACTTTAACTTTCTGTCGCTCCTGCCCAAGGCCCACCCAGGGCCATCAACTAGGGGCTGGGACCCTCCCGTCCTCGTCACTGGGACACCTCTCACGTCTGCCTCTCAGCCACCACCTACCCCCGCAACATGCACTGTTCCAAACACTCCCAGATTGGAAAAACCCGGACCTCGCCGACCTCTAAGCCCAGAGGCCTTTCTCCTCGCCTTCAGAGGCAAGGTGCCTTGAGATGGCCGTGTCCTGCCCAGCCTCTTCCAGTACAGTATGATCCACACTGGTTAACTGGCAAGATACGAGTTGGTACAATCACTGGTGTGCCAGGTATTTTTTGGAGGGAGGAACTGGGCAGTTCTGTTGCAGTTTAAGATGGGCACCCCACTAAAAAATAAAATAAAATGGGCACCCCAAAAGGTCAGAAACATTCTACATGGCCAACAATAGGGGACTGATTTGAGAAAGCTGTGGTATTCCAAGGGGGAATACCATGCGGCCATGAAAACGGACAGAGGGGGACTTGCCTGGTGGTCCAGTGGTTGACTCCTCACTTCCAATGCAGTGGGCGTGGGTTCGATCCCTGATCGGGGAACTAAGATCCCACATGCCGTAGGGCATGGCCAAATAAAAGGGACAGAGGGCTTTTTGCCCGGGTATAACCTGCAAGATACTCTGTCAGATGAAAAATGTAATCTACAGAATAAAGCAGACTAAGTTCTGGAGATCTTCTGTAGAACAAAGTGCCCATAATTACGGACACTCTACTGTGCACTTAAATTTAAGAGGATAAATCTGTTAAGTGTCCTTACTACCCACCACCCACAAACACACACAAAACAAAGGGACACAAGGAAACTTTTGGAGGTGATGGATGCCGACTACCTTAATTGTAGTGATGCTTTCATGAGTGTATACATATATCCAAACTCAATCATACCTCAGTAAAGCTGTTTACAAAAATATAAAGCAGGCTGCCACTGGACAGAAGAGCCAGAAAATGAATATACTTCTCTGTCTGCTTCTACCTGCTCGTTCAGATCTCTGAAAGAACACACAAGAGATTGGTTACTGGTCTCCAGAGGGGGCTGGGAGAGGCCATGCATTGGGTTGACTTTGGAGTCTCTACAAGTGTGAACCATAGAAGGTTTTTTTATGCAAAAAATAAGTTCAATCTTTAAAAAGGCAAATAAACACAACTGGCATACTCCTCAATTTTGAAATTTTCCAGCTGGGACTGTATCACACGGGAATCCCTGCCCAAATGAGGGGTTAAAGATGTACGTATATGCTGATTCTCTGTGGCATTTTTGATAATAGTGGAAAACTACACAGTTACCCAGAGACAGCCCCTGTGACCCCCACCTCCTGGTATTATAATCCTTGTATTACCCTCTCAGCCTCAGTGTGGGCTGGACCTAGTGATAGCTGTAATGAACAGAATACGGCAAAAGCGACAGGCCATCACTTCCACCATTGAGTTACAAAAAGACTGTGGGTTCCATCTTGGGTGCCCTATGAAGAGGCCCACATGGCGAGAAAGCGAGGGAGACCTCCAGCCCAGAGCAAGCAAGGAACTGAGGCTCTGCGTCCAGGCACCTGCAAGGAACCAGATCTGGCCAGCAGGCATGTGAATGACCTTGGAAGTGGGCCTTCTCCCAGTGGAGCCTTCAGATGAGACCACAGCCCCAGCCCACTTGACAGCGACCTTGAGAGACCTTGGGCCAGAGGCCCGAGCTAAGCTGGGCCTGGATTCCTGACCCAGAGCAACTGCAGGACAATAAACGCTTATTGTTTTAAGCCACTGAGTGATGTTACATATCAACAGACAGACAGCTTATGCCGCCGGGATGGTCTGTGGGATTGGAATTTGTCCACTTAATGGACTAGGGAAAGCAACCATTTAATAACAGGACATAAAGCCTCATGTAACCAATGATGTGGACAAATGGTCATGACTCAAGTGAAAGAAAAGCAAGATAAAGAACATATAGAAACTGACCTCATTTACATAAAACATTTAAGAAACTATAAACGTGTCTACAACCGCATGCATGTACACCCAACACCAAACTGACGTATCTGCCTCTGGGGGGGATGCTGCTTCGCTCAGTGTTTGGGGTGAGAGGGGAGAATGAGATGTGAAAGGGTACTTCACTTTTTATTCTACACGTTTCAGTGGTTTTTCACCTTTATGAAACTAGAATCCTGTGTATCGCAATAGATTTTTAAGGTTAATTTTTTAAAAACCCAAGATGGTGGGAAACTATATATTAGTGAGTATTGTGTACCTTGAAACAAATATACCTTTTTTAGAAGGTGTCGTTTTTCTCATAAATTTTCTTTATAGAGGTAGTAGGGGGGCATGCTCTCACCCAAGACAGGTTTCTAACCGTTAATGTGTCGGTGTTTTTTTGTTTTTTGTTTTTTTTTCAGTTATGTTCTGCCACTTTTGCCAGATCTGTTCCTGTGGAAGAATTCTCAGTTCCCAGTCTTGCTTCCAGCTCTAAATGCATGGTCCAAAAGCAAATTGGTCAAAAATGAAATGTTTCCAACCAGTCACTCATCCAATTACAGCCTTCATGGCTGCCCCGGTGGTACCGACAAACGGGCATGCATTTTTAGAAGCAGTTTTGCCCTCTAAGAGCGCGTTCTGGCCAGTGATAACAACCATGGCCAATAGCAGCTCTCCTGAGAGGAGGGCTGTGCTGAGCCCGCCAGGTACTCAATCCTACGAGGAAGTCACTACTTGCCATGTGGGGAGACTGAGGCTCACAGAGGCGTGGGGACCTGCCCAAAGCCACACAGCTCATTGGTTCAGGACCTGGAGTCTCAACACTGAGGTGCTAAGGTTTGCACCATTTCTGCTACACTTCAGCAGCTTTATAACAGTACCTCGTGCTCAGAGAAAAAGGTTCCAGAAAGATTTGCTCTATTCGTTTTGGCCGGTTCTCGGGGGTACTTTAAAGGCTGTTGTCTACACCCCGGCTGTGAAGTGTGGAGGCGAGTCCTCCGTGTCTAGACCTCCACTCTCCGGGCCCACCCGTAACCAAGGGCTTTCTTCTGCCTCACCCTGTGTATGATATGCACCCGTGATGACACTGTGACAGTCCCTTTGGTTCCTCTAATTGGGTGCTGAGGTCAAGAGGGCCTCATAGGCCCACAACGGCCAAACCAGTGACTGGAAACATTTCTTTGTCTGATCAATTTGTCCCAGATGGACTCGAGCCTGTGTTTCCCTGCAGGGCAACGTCCACCCTGGTGGGAACGGCACGGGCTGCTCCCCGCTAGTCTTCTTTCCTTTTAGCGGCTTTGGACACAGTCGATCCCTCTCTCCTCAGAAACTCGGCTTCCAGAACACACGTGCCTGCCTGCTCCTCCTGTCTCCCGGCCCCCACCCAACTCGCACACGTGGGTCCTTCTCTGGCCTCTGTCCTTTGTCCTCGCGTCTTCTTCTTCCAGAGGTCACAAAATGGCGGCCCGGCGGCCTCGTGAGACCCACCAGCGGATTTTGTTTGGTCCTCACAGTGTTTTTTGGTTTTAATTTGAATGCAGTTAGGCGGGGCAAGCACTCCCCAAGTTCGCCACAGTCCCCATCAATCCTTGTCGTCTTACACCCGTCCGCGTCACACATTTCCATCACCTGCCTGGTCCCTGGAGCCATCTGAGTTTTCAGAAACCCCTGCTACGCACGCTGCCTGGGAAACCTCACCCGCTTTTCCCTCCTTCGACCGCCACTGGGATCTCCTGCTCCATCTCTCATCTGCGTCAGAATCGCCGAGGGAGCTTGTTCCAAATGCCGACGCCCAGCCTCCCTCCCGCCCCCGGATGGATTTGCTTCGACAGTTCTAGATGGTTCTAGATGGTTCTAGGGCAGGGATCGTAAACTCAAATGCCGGCAGGAGCCAGGTGGGCCACATAAATGAGTGCACTTGCCAGGTATAAGAAAAGTCGACGGCCAGAAATATAATCAAATGGAATCTTTACTGAACTCTGGTGAATGCATGGAACATAATACAAACATGTGTCATACTGGAGTTTATATTTCAAATCCAAAACTGAAAAAATACAAATTGAAAAATAGAAATATTTAATTACTAAAATTTTTTTGCTCTGTCGTAACTCTTCTGCTCCCTGACTTGAAGCCGGGAGGCCGACATCATCCCTGCCGCCCCCAGATGTCAACGTCAGGCCTTGGATGTCATGGTGGGATGGGTGGTTGAGAATTCAACCTGGACTCCTGAAGCTGGGAGCGATATTGAACTTGATTCAGTTTTGTAACGGAAAACGGCTGTTCACAAGCGTGGCCGCTTCCAAACGCAGAGATGCAGGACAACTACTGGAGAGTGGTGTAGGACTGTCATCTTCCGGTGGAACCCACTTAGGAACCAGCAGCTTATTGCCCTGTAGTTCGTTCAATAACTACTATTTGCGGTCTGCATTCACACGATCGACATTAACCAACAAAGGCAAAGTGGACAGTGTTAGTTTTCATCAAGTCTGGATGTGGAGAGCCCTTGGGGGAATTTGGTCTTTAACACCACGAGTTGGGTGAACGTGGTCTGGGCCATGTCTTTCGTTTCTGGAAACCAACTGCAGCAACGAAAGGGAGTCAGAATATTCCCTGCCAACGACTTCCCCATTTTTGCCAGGACTGGGTGAACACAATCATACATTCAAGTAGCTATTTGTGTATGTCCTTGCGGAGAAAAGAGAGTGTTCAGAAGGGTTGGAACCTCGATCAAAAGTCTCTGACTGACCTTCTCAGGGGAACCAAGGTGTGGCTTCTGCCTCATCTGAAATGAACCAAGTGGATGGACTGCAACGGTTCAGACTGCTTCCACACGTCCTGTGACAACCAGGTCACAGAGCTTCTATAAAACACATTGCGTCAAGTTCATCACCAGCCTGCCCGTGGTTAAGGTACACGAGCCTGTCACGGACGTCGTGTCCTGTGTTCCGTTGACTTTCTTAGTAAGGTCAGTGCCTGGTATGATGCAACGATCTGAGTCCTCGGATCAAGGCGTCCCCTGTCGGTCCCGTGTGACACTGATCGTTTGATCACTACCACGGTCTGTAGCTGTGCTCAGGCATTTTGACCAGTCTCCGTGAAACTGTGCATTTCTCTCAACACACAGAAAACAGGTCACTTCCCGGTGTCGGGCCTGCCTTGGCACGGTGTCACAGATTTCTTCGGTCACATCGAGATTCTCCACACCACAAATAAATAAAGCTAACTGGGTGGTAACAGTTCATGAGCAGCGATAGAAAAGGCCACTATTGATTTGACTCATTCAAGCAACGGACTTGTCAGTCTTCGGATTTCTCTTCACCTCCCCATGGGATGCAGACGCCTGCTAGACTTAAAGGATGGTCCAGAGAGACATGAGTTTCTGTTCGGGAGGCGTCATTTCTGCTCCCTTATAAACTCGCTGTCGGTAGGCTGGAATGCCCAGGTGACTCTTTTCACGTGATTCCGGAACCGTGCGTGGCAGCCGTGCCACTGCTCCCGTCCGCTTCCCAAAACCAGCCCTACTGACACTTGAGGCCCTTTTTCAGTTCATTGAGTATTGCGTCTCGCGTCTGCTCTGTGTACTGGTCGAAGCTCTTACTGTGCTTGGATTCATAGTGACGCCTCAGGTTGTATTCTTTCAACACAGACACGATTTTTTTGCATATTAAGCACGTAGGCATGCTCTTCACCTCCACAAAGAAATAGGCTCGCTCCCATTTCTCTCGAAACACGTGGCCCTCTCGTTCTCTCTTTCGTTTTGCCACTTTTGGTAGAGACATGGGTACAAGAAAGATTTCACTGTCTCCGAACGCTACCACAGGAACAACAACAGTGCAAGCCCCGTGCCAAAGGCAACAGTCTCCTGCCTCGTGGTAGGGGAGTCAAGAGGGAGTGGTGGGGACTGTGGCGAACCAGAGAGCACACGCCCCATGGAAAGGGGCAGCTCCAGCCCGTTGTTTGCTAGGCAGAAGGGCGGGCCCAGGGGTGCCAGATCTTCTGACTTGTCAAGAGAAGCCAAGACTGCAGATTTTGTGTGTGTGTGTGTTTGTGTGTGTGTGCGTGTGTGTGAATTATCCTGATTTTTACAACTAACTTGTTAGGAAAAAAAATGCCACATATGCTAACACAGGGAAGGCCAAACAAAACTCATCTGTAGAGTGGCCCACGGGCCACCAGTTTGCAACCTCTCTCCTGGGACGGGGCCCGGGAATCTGATGTTAACCGGCATCTCAAACAATGCGGATGCTGGTGGTCCAGCCGTGGACCACGCTGAGCAACACTGCTCTAGGGTCTGACAATGGACAACTAATTTTCTGCCCCCAGGCCAGAGCACCCCTGTGCTCCAGCCACGTGTCTGTATCCAGCCGTCCCCTGGACGTCTCTCTAAGGACGACCTGAGGCCCCTTGCCTCATTACATCCCAAACCTGTACATCCTCCTTACATTCCTGCTGGGTTTCCCATCAGCAGGATGGCTCCACTGTCCACCCTGTCCAAAGCCCTGGAAGGTAGGTCTCTGCCTGGGACCTGGATGGAGCCTGCCCTCTCCACATGAGACCTCATCCATTCTGGTGTCTTCAACCACCAAACACATACTGTCGCTAAGGACACACATCCTGAGCTCCCAACACGGCCTTGGTCACTTGGATGTCCCTGGACCATCACACTCACTACTGGCTCCTTCTCCCAGCTCCCTGCCTCAGGGAGGCCCACTGTCTACCACACACCCAGGCCAGGCCCTGGGCACCGCCCTCAACCCCGCCCGTACACCCCCAGCTTTCTTCGCACAGCACACTAGTCTCTAGCCTCACCCCTCCTGCCCCCCGACTCGGCCCAGCCCCTCCTCTGGCCTCTCCTCTCCCCAGGGAAACTGCCCCAGACCCCTACCTGCCTTCCGTCCTGCCCCATCACATCCCATAGCCCAGAGGGGGCTTTCTGAGAGCCAGCCGACCCAGGCCTGGCCCCTGCTGGTGGCCTCCCGCAGCTCTTCTGCATCCCCTGGACAAGCCTCCAGCTGCTTGGTTTGGAACCTGAGCCCCATCCCCGCCTGGTGCTTGCCCACCTCTCTAGGCCCCCCTCCCTTATGCTCGTGCTCCAGAAGGATGGACTCCCTCCTCTGACCACCCCAAGCTTCCTCCTGCCCCCACATGTTCATTTCTGTGGTCTCCGCACCTAGACCGCCAGCACCTGCCTTCCCAGCCTCCCTGACTCCTGCTTCTCACAGATGCTGCCAAGCCCAGCTGGCTCAGAGGCCTCCTCCGGGCCCACCTGGTACCCTCTCTAGCTCCACGAGTGCACGTGGTCCTGGGGGCCCTGCCTGCTGCCTCCACATCTCCCTGAAGCCAGGCTGCACCAGACCGCCTGACTCGCCGCCAAGGCCCTGGCCTCACCAGCCCGGGGCCTCAGGGACGTCTGTTGAAGCGAGAACAAGGACAGAGGTGTCTCCCCCCGTCTCCTCCTGCCCAGTCCTGGGGGATGTCAGTGACGGGAGCCGGGGCGTGTGTTAAAAGGAACTTTATTGGGTGTCGGGGGTTCAGATGAGGTCCATGAGGATGTCGTCCTCCATGACGCTGGGCTGCAGGCCCGGCTGGGGGACCGGGCCCCGGGGACCCCCGCTGAGCAGCATCTGACCTGGGGGGCAGTGGGGAAGGGACTGCATCTCCCAGTAGTCCCTGGGGCCCTGGAGGGCCCTGGACCTGCTTCCTCCCTCCTCCTCTGGGAGCCCAAGGCACTGAGTGGTCTAGGAAGACCTGGGGGGACCCACAGAGTCGCCTTCTGACGCCATGTGACCACAGATAGTCTGTTTCCCGTTAAGCCTTTGGGAGCCCATCCCCCAACATACCTCTCTGGCCCTAAGACTACATTTCCCAGCAACCCCAGGAAGACACGCAGGAGGGGAATGGTGGGGAGAGCTCCTGCCTCCTTGGTCCCCCAGGAGCCCTTAGAGCCCTAAGAGCCATGGGGGACCCGCTATTCTTCAATCCCAGAACTTTACTTCCCAGAAGTCACTGGTCTTGGGGCTCCAGTCCAGGGGCTGTTGGGATACTCAGTCCAGGACCCTGGCCTCCCCCGAACCCCCTTACCTGGCAGTGGAGCCCTGGGGGGAAGCTGTGCAGGCCAAGACTGGGCCGGCGGCGGCGGGTGCAGGAGCGGGGGCCCCAGCTGGGGCTGCCCCAGGCCCTGGTGCGGTGGGGGCAGCAGTGCAGGGGCCCCTGGTGGCTGGAGGTGGTGGAGGGAGGCCTGAGGCGGGGGCACCCCAGTCTGGGGCTGGGAGAACAAGGAAAGCAGCTCAGAGGGCCCTGGTGGGGAGCCCCCACCTCCCCCAGTCCCTTGGGTAGCTTCTGGTCTTTCTTCCAAGGAATCTTATCAGAAGCCCATGTAAGACACATGGGGAGGAGCCAGGCGGGCCGCCAGTCACACCCTCCAATCAAACCAACCTCCCACCTCCAAGATGAGAGGAATCAAACTGTCAAGGCCCAGGACCCACAGCTCCCATCTGCCCCCCGCCTCCAAAGCTCACCGGTGGTGGGTTGAGGAGGAGGCTCCGCAGTTGGGGGTTGGCCCCGGGGTTCTGGGGCCGAAGGATGGGTCCGGGAGGGGGCGGGCCGGGGGCCGCTCCGGGAGGGCCTTGTGGGGCACCCGGGGGCGCCTGGGCAGCACCCTGGGGCTGCGGCTGCCCCGTGGCCGTAGAGGCCCCCACGGTACCCTGCGGCTGGGGCTGCGGCGGGCGGAGCTGGAGCTGACGGGAAGAGACGGGGGTGAGGGCAGAGCCCCCAGACACCTTGACCTCTGTGGTGGGGTCAGAATCACAGCCTCCTCTGGGGCCGCCCCCGCCCGGGCCCTGACCCCACTGGCCCTGTCCTCACCAGGTTCTGCGAGGGCCTTGCCTGGTCCTCCAGAATGGGGCCCAGCCCCGGGGGTGCCTGCTGTGCCCCCATCTGTGTGAGGAGAGAGGGAGCAGATCAGTGGCTGGCGGGGCGTCCCCATGTCGGGGAGGGTCTGCGCCCTGAGAGGGAACCTGTCAGGAGCTAGGGACCTTTTCTGCAGCGGGTGGGCAGGTCTGGGAGGTAAACCTTACGTTCCCAGGTCCCCAAGAGGGGGCTGTGTCTTGAAGATCCGACACGAACACTAAAAAAGGAGAGCAATGGTGCATGGCAACATGGGGATGGGGCTGAACTTGGCAGGAGTAAGTGCCCAGCGCTGGAGTCCCAGGAGGGCCCTGCGGGGTCTGGCCGTGAGCTCTGGGGCCGGGAGCCGCGGCGCTCACCCCGCGCTGCTGCTCCAGCTTCTGCTGCTGGACCTGCTTGTGGTTGGTGATGACCTGCCGGATGCCGTTGACGAAGCCGCTCTGGTCGTAGGGGATGAGGCCCATGAAGATCTTCTTCTTGGACGAGTACAGGAGCATGAGCACGCGCACCTCGCAGGGGGCCGTGTGCGGGAAGTGCACGCAGCCCGCCTGTGGGAGAGGATCGCAACTGGTCACACCCTGGAGAAGGAGGCCTCCCACCCCTCCGGGTTTCAGATGGTTCTAGAGGCCCCACAGGCCGGGAGTGGCAAGCTTCCTGCTCTGAAAGGTGGAGGAGACTCAAGGCTTGGCTTGAGGCTGCTCCAGAGAGCTGGGTGCCCAAAGGAACAGGGCGAGGCTGGGCACCTGTTCACTTGGGCACTTGCTGACCACCGGGCAGGAGAGCAGAGAGGAAGTCCCCCCAACTTGGCCACACCGCGGGAGGCTGGGAGGGCTCACGGCTGAGAGGGAGGGGCTTCAACAGAGAGCTGACACTGGAATCATGTGATCAAAGGTGGTGGTGGATACGTGACTGACTGGGAATCCAAGAGGCCCTTGGGGGTGCCACACCCTCCCAGCCTCAGTACCCACAGTGAGAACCGCGGGTAGCAGCACTAACACCACAGGGGATGTGACTCCGGGATGTGCCGACACACGTCAGGCAGCCTGCCCATGGCTGGACGCATGGAAGTACCCGGGAAACATTAGCGAATGTCAGGTAAGCCCGTAATACGCAGGGTATTCAGGAGGTGGGCTCTTGGGGGAGGAGGGGCTGATAAGACTGAGGTCCCCCCTGTAGAACCTTGGCCAAGTAAGCTTTGCTTTCTCACGTGAGGCAGACCCTGCTAGCTGTCTACCATCTGCCCTTCTCCCCTGGGTAGAGAACCCCGATTCCGTTTGGGTAGCAACATGTCTGGGTCCCAGTGCACTCATGGGTGCCTGTTCCCCGATGCTCTCCTATGCAGCCAGGGGTGGCCCAGTGGCCTGGGTCTGGCCCAGGACGTGAAGGGAAGCCTGCCCACGAGTGTGGGCAAGTGCTTTCCTAAAGAAAGGGAAATACACGGCTGATGCCACGCCTCCTTCTTGCCTTCCTACATCAAGTCAAACAAGAGTTCTCGAGCTTCGAAAGCCATCTTACAACCACTAGAGAGAAGCCAAGAGAACCCCAGAGATCCTGGCCCTGACGTCATGGGGCTACATAAGTAACCCCGAGAGCTGCTCACCTCTGGATGTCCTGTTACGTGTCACAAATGAATGTCTGCTTGTACAGTGCTCGCTTTGGGGACATCCCTCTCAGAACCCAGCTGCCATGCTTTGAAGAAGCCCAAGACAAATGGGGAGGCCACATGTGGGCACCCGGATGGCCAGGCCCAGCTGAACCCCACTGACCACACCATGTGAGTGGGCCATCTTGCACCTCCAGCCCAGGTGAGCTTTCAGATGACCACAGTCTTAGCCGCCACCTGACAGTAACCCCCACAAGAGTCCCCAAGCAAGACTAGCCCAGCTGAGCCCAGCTGACACACATGGGACTAGGAGAAAGCGTGAACTGTTGTAAGCCTCCACCCCAATCATCTATCTGCTCTAAAAGCTCTGCTGGTTGGGTGTATTGCTATCTGCAGTTGCAGGTATTCCCAACTCTCAGGATCACCTTCTTTGTAGAATTTTCCTGAGGATTCCATGAGGTAATCCGCCTAAAGTCCCCTCTCCTAGAAAAGTGCCAGGTCCACAGGATGTACTCGTTAACCGGTTCTGCTCTATTTAGAGAGCCTCCCTCAGTGTTATGAGTTGAACTGTATCCTCCGAAAACACATGCTGAAGTGCCAAACCCCAGCACCCGTCAACGTGACCTTATTTGGAAATAGGGTGTTTGCAGATGTAACAAGTTAGGATGAGATCATTAAAGAAGACCCCAGTCCAAATGACTGGTGTCCTCATAAGACGACAGAGACACACATACAGGGAAGAAACACACAGAGGGAAGGCAGCCATGTGACAACGGAAACGGAGACTGGAGTTTTGCTGCCTAAAGCCAACCCCGCCAGGGGCTACCAGCTGTAGGAGGCAAGGAAGGGTCTTCCCCTAGAGGCTTCAGAGAGCACGGCCCTGCTGACACCCTGATTTCATTCAGACTCCTCTTTTCCGGAAGTGCGAGAGAATACATTTCTGTCGTTCTTGGCCCCAGGAAGCCAACCCAGCAAAGCCCCGTCAGAGCCAAGGGTGTTAACACGGAACAGACCTCAACCTGGTGCTTGTTGTAATTATAAAAAAAAAAAAAAGCTAAGGCTGAGAAACCCGAGGTCACAAAGGCAGCCCCACCATCAAAAGTGGCTCCCTGGGGCCCACGAGGATGGGGAGTGGCCACCTGCCCCCCCACCCGCCCACCCCACTCACAAAGCCGTTGCCCATGATGCGGTAGAGGCCTTTGAGGGAGTCCAGGTCCTTGTTGGTGAAGTGGAACTGGACCATCCTTGAGTTCCGGAACAGAGGGCCCAGGGTGGTCTGTGGGAGACACTGACGTGAGCCAGCGGGCGGAGCAGGGACCTGAGGACAGAGGCGGGGGGGGGGGGGGGGGCAGCTGTCCCCTCCCCACTCACCAGCAGCTGCTGCGGGATGAGCTGCATGATCAGCTTCTGGGGCCACTGCTCTGCTTTCCTGGGGCAACAACGGGAGGGGCGTCAGGAAACGCACACCCCAGCTTCCCACCCGCCCCACCCCCAGCAGGCACCTACAGGTTCTCGCCGTGATTCACGTAGACCTGACAGGGCAGTGACCGAGTCAGCTTGGTGTTGGCATCCACGGAGGCAGGTTTGGGCTTCTGAGGGGAAGAAGGGCATGTCACAGTGAGAAAGGCCCTGAGCCTCCATCCCCTTGGCCTCTCCTGCCCTACCCTGGGAGCCCCGAAACTCGGGACCCCCACCCCAGTTTAAGTCCCATGAGCCCTGGGCCCCTCCGCCAGACCATCAATCCCACAATCCTCTAGCTTTCAAATTCCACAAACGCTGGGGCTCCTCCTCTTGCCCCCGAATCCCACAGCCCTCTGTCCCCTAGATGCCACCATCCCCCGGATCTTCCCTGGACCGAGAATCCAAGACCTCTCTTAATCCTGAATTCCGGGCTATAAATCCCACGTGTCCTTGGAACCATCCTCAGGACCACAAGTCCCACGACCCCATGGGGGCCCCGGCCTAACCCTGCACCCCACCAGGGCTGGCCCCATGGATCCACTCACCTCCTGCCACTCGAGGACCCCGCTCCAGGCCAGGAGTTTGTTGGAGACTGACTGCTGCCCGCCGAGGGCCGGGGCCCCGAGCTGGGCCGGAGAAGGGCCACTCACCCCTCCTGGGGCCACGGTGCCCGCCTGACAGAGGGGAGGAAGGAGGGCCATGGGGCAGGGTCAGACCATCTTCTGGGGGGAAGTGTCCTGAGAGAGGGACAAACCAACAAGCAGAACGGGACGGAGGTCCCTTCCTCTGCACCCCCAGGCCCAGAACACCACTGGGCCATGCCTGGGACCATAAATGCTCTGACCCTGTAGGATTCAAAGACTCTCAAGGCCCTGATGTCTTGCACTCCCAGGAGCCCTCGGGCTCCTGAGAACAGTCTTCACCCACCCGGAACCACAAACCCCATGATTCTGCCCCCGGACCCTGCAGTCTCAGTGTTGCCTACAGCACAAGCTCCACGAGCCCCCGAGGACGCCGAACAACAAGACCCACGTGCCCTTGGGCCCTCCTCAGAAAGGCCAACTGCTCCTCCCCTGCACTGTGCTGGCAGCCAGAAGGCAGGTACCTACCATGGACGGTGCCCCTGGCTGTGCAGGGGGGGCCAGGCCCGGGCCAGGGGCCACAGTGGAGACCAGGCTGGGCTGGGAAGCAGGAGGTGGCTTGGGGGCGCCGGGGGGCCCTGGGGGCAGCGGGGGGGCCTGGGCCTGGCTGTAGGGGGGACCGGCTCCCGCAGCGGCTTGCTGAAGGGGGCTGATGGGCGGGACTGCGGGAGACACCAAGGGAAGCGGTGGGGGCAGGTGTGTGGCGAGCGGCCCGGCTGCCCCCACCCGCCCTGCCACATCCCCGCCCAGGACTCACAGCGAGGGCCCAGCCCAGCCTTCTGGTTCTTGGCGGCCTCCACTGCGTTCTGGGCAGCGACCTGGGCTGCACTCAGGTTCCCAGGGACCTGGCGGTAGAGGGGAGGGGCTGGTGAGGACCACCCTCCCCAGCCCCAATATCACAGGAGCTCGTGACTCCCATCACCCCACAGGGACATGATTCCCCACCCTAAAAGTTCTACTCCCCAGGTGTCTCAAGGGAGACGCCCGTCACCCCCAAGGCCCAACATCCAGCCAGGTCTCTCCCAAGGGGCCAGGGCTCCCTCAAGGCCCCAGGAGCGTGTCCCTTCCCCGGTGATGTTCGCACCTGGTACTGCTGGGGGACAGGGGGCAGAGGCTGCTGGGGGGCTGCTGAGAGCGTGGCCCCCGAGGGTGGTGCTGGAGGCAGGGGCACAGGCTGCTTCGGCTGCAGGGGGCCGGGGGCCGAGCCACCTCCGACTGAGAGCCAAGGATGGATATCAAGCCCCACGAGAAGGGGATTGAGAGACGGGAAGAAAATCCAAGTAAGAAGAAGCCGGGGAGGACGCCCCTCCCACCCCCGTCCCCCCAGCAGCACCCGGGCCTCACCTGGCAGCACAAGCCCCCGCACGAGCACCATGTGCCGCGGGTCCTGGCTCACGTCTGCTGGCGGCTGCAGCGGCTCCAGCATGGCCGGGGGAGCTGCCTTCTCGAACAGAAGCCGCAAGGCAGGCAGCTTCCGGGGAGACACGATGGAGAAGTAGATTCCTCGCTACAGGAGAGGGGACAAGCAGTCAGGACAAAGCCACCAGGCCAAGCCCTGGCTGTCACACCTGCTGGGCCCTAAAACCAAATCCCATCGGGCTTTGGGACAGGAGACCCCAAGACCTGTATTAGCTGCCCCAGAGAATTCTGGGTTATAGTTCTTCCCACAGGAGCCAGCTGAGCTGGCCACGGGGTCTGTGGCGATCCTGTGGCCCAAGGCAGCAGGCCCCAGCCCTCCTCCCTCAGACCCAGGAGCCCTCACCTCCCCTATCTTCTGCACGAGGGTCTCCGTCGTGCACCCAGAGTACGTGGTGCTCTCGACAGCAGGCAGCAGGTACGGGGGCGAGTTACAGATAAGGAGGCAGACTCGGTGTGTCTGGCCGCTGCCGAGGACAAGGAAAGATGTGGAGCACGTGGCAACAGGGGCCCTGAGAAAAGACCCAGAGCCGGCACCAGCAGAGGTGCAAGTCCTCCGGCCCACAGGAAGTCAGGAGTCAGGCCCCTATTTCACAGCTGAGAGCACTGAGGCCCGGAAGAGCCTCCTGACTCACTCTAAGATGCCCGGCAAGCAGGGCAGGCAGGAAGCAGACCCAGAGCTGGCTCCCCTTTGATGAGGACACCGAGACTGGGCACAGGCCAGGTGATCTCATCAGAACACCGTCTGGACACCGCCTGCTTCCCAGCCCCGTGTCCAGCATGCAGAGCCCACCCACCTCCCCACAGTGAGGCCGGGGGTGGAGCCCCACGACAGGCAAAGCAGGCTACGTGCCCGGCGGACAGAGACCGGCGTGGGCCACTCACATCTGCTCCCGCATCTTCCTGAAGTCATCGAACAGCTGCAGGGCTGTGCTGAGGCCTTCCGCGATGAGGCTGCAGCTCTCGCCACCCCCGCCCATGAACCTGCAGGGGGCCAGGCGGTCAGCCCCTGGGGGGCCCTGCGGCTCCAGCCCCCAGCCCCTGGGCCACCCTGGAAGGGCCCGAACCTGCGCCATCCCTCCTCATAGACTGTGCACCTTGGGACGGGGACACTGCCGAGTTTCCTGCTCTATCCCCAGTGCCGGCACGAGGACAGGGGACATTTGTCATCTCCTGCAAGGCAGTCCCTCTGGCAAGAGGCCCCATCAGAGGATGGAACAGAGAAAGGGCCCAGGACTCTAAGCCCAGGATCCTGTGCTGTGTCCCAGTCCCTGTGCACCTTGCCCTCTCTGGGCCATCTGCCCTGGCCTCACCCCAGCTTCCCAGCCTGGTGCAGGGGCCTCCTCTGTCTTCCCACAGTGTTATGGGTTGAATTGGGTCCCCCAAAACGGGTATGCTTAAGTCCTAGCCCTCCACCACACCTTAGGATGTGACCTGATTTGGAAACAGAGTCTTTACAGAGGTAAACAGGCTACAATGAGGTCCTTAGGGTGGCCTTAATCCAATATGACCGGTGTCCTTATAAGAAAGGGGACTCGGGACACAGAGACAGACACACTCAGAGGAAAGGCAATGTGGATGTGACGAGACACAGGGAGAACGCCACGTGGAGATCAGAATGTCACTGCCACAGAGCAAGGAACGTCTGGGGCGACCAGAAGCTGGAAGAGGCAAGGAAGGCACCCTCCCCTAAAGTTCCAGAGGGAGCACGGCCCTGCCCACCCCCATCTCAGACTCCTGGACCCAGAACTGCGAGACAATAACTTTCTGTTGCTGTAAGCCACCGTGTTTCTAGTACTGTTACAGCAGCCCCAGAAAACGACTACACACAGATCTGGGCTTCTCCCCCAGCTGATCTACAGAGGGGTCCCCAGTGTCTGTCCCCGTGTGGCCTGTGGCAGGCCTCTCCTAGACTGCAGTTGTTGTCACCATGATTCTTCGGGTCACGTGGTCACAAGGCTGAACCTTTGCCGCAGGGGACATCTGTGCAGACTGGGCCCCGCTCTGGGAGCCCTAAGGGCCCTGTTGCTCTGAACCGTGGCCCCTGTGTCTGTGTCGGCACCTATCTCCCCGACAAGGCAGGGACGGGGGTCTCTGACCTCCCTTGTCGCCAGCCTCACCGACCCCACCCCACCAAGCCTGGCACAAGGGAGGCCTTGGGAACTGTGTGTTACATAAACAAATGGCTTCAAATCCAACCCTGGCCATCAAGGCCAGAATAGAGCCAAGCCCTCAGCTGGGCATCTGGGGCCCTGTCCACCTTCCACTCCATCCTCTCTGGGTGCAAGTCCTCCAGAGCTTCTTGGGTGTCCCTGGACTCCGTGATCAGCCACGCGCCCAGGCCTCTGCCTGTGCTGTCCACCCCAAGACCATGTACCACTGCCCCTTCTGGCACAGGTAGAAACCCTGCTTGCCTAACCAGACACCCAGCCCAGTGTCATCCTCCTCCAGGAAGCCTTCCTCACCTGCCACCTGATCTCAGGGCCCACCCTCAATCACATCACGTGTCCCCCAATACTGCAAATGTCAAGCTTCCTTCCACAGCCCACCTCCCCTCCAGACGGTGCAGCCCTCAGTGAGGGAGAGCCAGTGGTCTGAGCCAGCTCTAAAAGTACACAGAGTCCCGGGAAATGCCTGCTGAGCAAGTGAGCCACCGAAACATGCCCCCTCTGTGCCCACCTGAACGCTTTCCCGGTGTAGACTCCTGCCCTCTGCGCCCACGCTCAGGGTGCTCAGGCCACACCACTGTTCCTCCCCACGACCCACTCCCCAGCCCTCCTCTTCCTCACCACCGAGACTCCAGTTTGCACAGGAATTTGAATGGCGCAGAGTTGGGGGAGACCCCGATAAATGAACCAACTCTGGATCCATCCTACTGCCAGCTTCCTGTGCTGGAAGAAATCAAGCCATCTTCATGGCTGGGGCTAAGGAGACAGGGGTGAGGGGGCAGGGGGAGAGACAGGAAGCAACTGCTTCAGGCATTCGGGGTCTCCTTTTAGGGTGATGAAAATGTTCCAGAACTAAATAGAGAAGGTGGCTGCACAACATTTTGAATGTACTAAACGTCACTGAATTGTTCACTTTAAAATAACTGCGTGTTGGACTTCCCTGGTGGCGCAGTGGTTAAGCATCCGCCTGCCAATGCAGGGGACGTGGGTTCGAGCCCTGGTCCAGGAAGATCCCACAGGCCGCGAAGCAACTAAGCCTGTGCACCACAAATACTGAGCCTGTGCTCTAGAGCCCGCGAGCCCCAACTACTGAAGCCCGCGCGCCTAGAGCCCGTGCTCCACAACAAGAGGAGCCACTGCAGTGAGAATCCCGCACACCGCAACAGAGAGTAGCCCCCGCTCGCTGCAACTAAAGAAAGCTGGCGCGCAGCAATGAAGACCCAACGCAGCAAAAAATAAATCAATATTTAAAAATAAATAAAATAAAATGACTGTGTGTTATGTGAATTTCACCCCAATTTCTAAAAAAAATAATTTACAAGGGAAAGTGCGATTGACCACTTTGAGATCCCAAAGCTGGCTTTTTTCTTATTGAACAGTAAGCATAAGCCATCTTGTACCAACTCAGAGAGAGACACATAACAAATATTTTGTCCAAGAAATGAGAAAACCTTAAAAACGGGCAGTGGGAGAGGGAATTCCCTGGTGGTCCAGTGGTTAGGACCCCACGCTCTCACTGCCGAGGGCCCAGGTTCCATCCCTGGTCGGGGAACTAAGATCCCACAAGCTGGGTGGCACGGCCAAAAAAAAAAAAAAGGGGAATGAGAGAAAGCATGACCAGTTGCAAAACATGTTTTAAATATCATAAAGTTTCAAATAAACCCCTCAAGTAATAAACATAAAGTAAAAATAAAATGATTCCTCATCCTCATGCCTCTGCCCCCAATTGTTCCGCCCGATGTCACACCACTGAGTCCTCACCACCCATTTTCATGGGCCAACAGGCCCCGGGAGCCCCCCAGAGGGACTGAAGGAACATGAACAGCAGCCAGCTCTGACCAGGGACTTCCTACTGCCAGACCCCTGCCCAGCCCATCACCCCAGGGAAACACTGGCTCCAAGAGGGCGAGAACTTTGCCTGCCTCATACCCCCGACTCCTCGGTGCCTGGAACAATTTGCCCCACAAACATCTGTTGAATGAATGAAGGCACAGATGAATGAATGAATGCACAAACGCACTGTCACAACGCTATGGGGAAGACACTTGGGCTATTTTCCTTCTACCCTATCCTTTTTTTTTTAATCTTTTATTATTATTATTATTTATTGGCTGCAATCGGTCTTCGTTGCTGCGTGCAGGCTTTCTCTAGTTGCGGCAAGTGGGGGCTACTCTTTGTTGCGGTGCGCGGGCTTCTCGTTGCAGTGGCTTCTCTTGTGGAGCACAGGCTCTAGGCACACAGGCCTCAGTAGTTGTGGCGCACGGGCTTAGCTGCTCCGTGCCATGTGGGATCTTCCCGGACCAGGGCTTGAACCCATGTCCCCTGCAAGCCACCAAGGAAGTCCCTACCCTAGCTTTTCTGATGCTGGGTCACTAGCTGTAGGGAGGAGGGGGAACCGCCCCTCTTGTCAGAAAGGAAAATGTAACATCAGAAATGAACCTCTCCAAAGCAAGGACATTTCAAAAATCACACTGCTGGGCTTCCCTGGTGGCGCAGTGGTTGAGAGTCCGCCTGCCGATGCAGGGGACACGGGTTCGTGTCCCTGTCCAGGAAGATCCCACATGCAGCGGAGCGGCTGGGTTCGTGAGCCATGGCCACTGAGCCTGCGCATCTGGAGCCTGTGCTCCGCAACGGGAGAGGCCCCAACGGTGAGAGGCCCGCGTACCACAAAAAAGAAAAAAGAAGAAAAAAAAAATCACACTGCCTGCTTTGTTCCATAAGTGATGGATGTTCCAGGAAAAGATAAGATTTCTCCAAGCGTGAACAAAACTTGCTGACTTTCTTCGTGATCTCTGTTACAGAAGGGCCCCGAATGCCACAGAAACTGAATTTAGATAGTTACATAGGACTTGATAAAACAGTGACGACTGTGAATATTAAATAATGGCTTAAAATGTTTATCAGCTGATTGGGAGGATTCCGGTGAGCACACAGCACACAAAGCTTTTTTATCTGGTTATAGGTACAGTGTACTCTAGGTCGGTTAAAGGGGAGGGTGAATGTGGGATGAAAGTATTCAGAGAGCATTTCCCTCTTATCTTCCCAGTGCCCTTGACATTTTTAAATAAGGGGGTTTAACTGCTTTTCCTGACACCCACCAGAAGGTTTGGTTTCCTGGTAATTATCTTCCCCACAGCTTTCACTCGTTCATTTATTCAGCGAAGGTCTCCTAAGGCCTCTTGGGTCCCAGGCCCCAGCTGGAAGCAAACAGCAGGAGAAACACCCAAGTCCTGGACATTCACAGTCCAGAGGTGTGAAGCTGTGACAGGGAAACACCTGGGAGCAATGGGGTCAGAGGAGAGAGCAACTGGCTGCTTGCCAGAATCAGGGAAAGGACATTTGAGTCAGGTCTTGATGTTTATATAGGAGTTTACCAGGGGGGGAAACCAGATTATGAAGTGCATTCTGGGCATTCATTCATTTACTCACTTGTTCAACAAAGTTTTCCTTAGGCCTCCTTTGTGCCAGGCCCTGTGCTGGGTGCTAGAGACTTGAGGAACATCAGACTTGGACTTGGGCCTCAAGGAGCCCCCCATTCAACATTATTCAAGTCTTACCACAATCTAGTCCAAAGGTTCTTAAATGGGGTGGATTCTGCCCCCAAGGAGATACCTGACAACGTCTGGAGACATCTTTGTTTGTCAGACTGGGGGAGGGAAGTAGCCACTGGCATCTGGGGGGTAGGGGCCGGAGATGCTACTGAACACCTTACAATGCATAGTACGGTCCCCCAATAACGAAGAGTCATTTGGCCCAAAGGGTCAACAGTGCTGACGCTGAGAAACCCTGCTCTACCCTGACCATGAATTCTAAAGACCATGAGGGGGAAACTTAAGAGTCAACTTTGCAGTGAACATGCAGCACCCAGTCCAGCGCATACAGCCTGGAACAAAGCAGGTGTTCAACAAACATTTGCTGCAGGGACATACAAAGGTAACAGCGAACTGGTGTTATTTAATGAACTCTGACCAGACCCTGAGCTGAACACAGTATGAAAATCAGGTCCTGTGATCCTCCCAAGAGTGATGAGACATGGACTACCATCATCCATCTGCAATCCAAGAAACCAAAACACAAAACAACAGCAAAAGCTTAGGTAGCACTTAATACGTGTCAGGCACTGTTTTGTTTTGTTTTGTTTTGTTTTGTTTTTTGCGGTACGCAAGCATGTGGGATCTTCCCGGACCGGGGCACGAACCCGTGTCCCTGCATCGGCAGGCGGACTCTCAATCACTGCGCCACCAGGGAAGCCCTCAGGCACTGTTTTAAAGAGGCATCAACTCGTTTAATTCACAAAGTATCCCTACAAAGTCACTGTAACCATGTCTCCAATGATCCTCGTCTCCTAGTATTCACGCCCCCTCAAACACTGGACAGGACTGACTTGTGTACTAAACAGAATGTGATAGAAGTGATGGTGTGTGACCTCCAAGGTTTGATCATAAAAAGCTCTGTGGTTTCCTCTTTGCTCTTTCTGTTGGATTGCTCAGGCAGAGGAAAGCCAGCTGTTGGAGGACACTCAAGCAGCCCCCGGCTAACATCTGGCAAGGAATCGAGGCCTCTAGCCAATAGCCATAGGGTGAGCCACCCTGTAAATGGATCCTCCGGTCGCAATCAAACTGTTGGATGACTGCAGCCCAAAGTCATGGCAACTGCAATCCCACAAGAGACCCTGAGCTAGAGCAACCCATCGAAGCCACCCTGAACTCCTTGCTTACAGAAACCACATGAGATAATAAATGTCTGTTGTCTTAGGCCGGTTAAGTTGTTTGGTTTTTTTTTTTGGCCGCGCCTCCAGGCATGTGGGATCTTAGTTCCCAACCAGATATCAACCTGTGCCCCCTGCAGGGGCAGTGTGGAGTCCCAACCACTGGGCCGCCAGGGAAGTCCCAAGCTGCTAAGTTTTGATCTGTTACCCAATAGTGAATAAGTAACACGATACCTATAAGTACTACTCAACTTCCCGTTTTAGAGACAAATTATGTTAGACACGGGGGACGGAGAGTTCTGTTGCGGTGGAGCCACGCTGTGGCCCCAGTCTGTCTGCACCTGCGAGAGCCTGCAACGTGAACTATCACAATTCACTCCAAAGCACAGAGGCCTAGCTTATCTTGGCCTAGCCCCACCCCTCTTGCACTCAGGCTTCAAGGCCTCCACCTGAAAATGGAGAACCAGAGTAGAAATGAGAAGCAACAGGCAGAAAAGGGAGGAATCACACGTGGGTGCTGGAGTTCCACAGGCCTCCTTGACTGGGAAGTTCTTTCTACTTCCGAGCCAGACAGCAACATCAGCTAAGCACACAGAACCGACCACAGAAGTGACTTAGGGATAAAACCACAATCCCCATCACAGTCCTTTTCAGCCAACTAATGTGAGGGGATGGATCCTGCAGCTCAAATCCAAGCCACCATTCCTCCGCGGTCCGTCACAGGGTCCCCCAACCCTTCCCAAAGCCCAGAAAAGAGCTCACTTAATGCCATCGAGCCAGGTGACAAACTCATAGGCGCTGCTGGTGGGAGCGTGACATTGTACGTAGGACTCTGGGGCGCAGTCCACCGTGTTGAACACCACGAGGCTGTACTGGGTTCCCCCATACTGGAAGGGGAGGACAGAGAAATTTTTTATCTGGGACCCCAGCTCCCTTTTCCCTCAGGGGATTTGGGGCTCCCAGCTCCCCGTCCCTTAGACCCAGGAGTCCAGACCCCAGCCCCTCCCACCTCAGACCCAGGAGTCCAGGTCCCCGCCCCCTCCGCTCTCAGACCCAGGAGTCCGGATTCCCAGCTTCCCTCTTCCCTCAAACTCAGCAGTCCCAAGACTCACGTCTCCCCCGAAGTCCGTCTCGGCAGGAGGACCACCATTAAAATACCTGTGAAAGTCGGAGGTGAAAGGTCGGGGTGAGGCAAGAGACTGTGGAAAACTAAAGTCGGAGGGAGGGGTTGGAGTGGCGGAAACGGCACTCACTCGATGGCCGGGAGCAGGTAGTGCTTGCGGAGCCCCTCGAAGTAGGGCCCCAGGTTGGCCGTGCCCTCAATTACAAACACCACGTCAGCTACGAGGCCCCCGGCGCGGGCCGGGCCCTCCGACCCGGGGACCATGCCCCGCGCCGCAACCGTCACCGCCGCCGTAGCCACTGCGGGATGAGCGGAAATGCGCTTGCGCTGGGCGCGCAGCCGCGCCGGACGGCCTTGCGTCGCTGTTGACGCTCTAGCGGCCATGTTTGTGCGGGGCACCCAGGGCTGGTGGGTTTATCTCCATCCTCCTTCGCACCCAGTGTGTGCAAGACTCAAAAAGGACCTAGCGAACCCCTTCGGGGGCCTGATGTGGAAGACTGAATTATTGGTAGAACTGTCGAGAGCGAAATATATTGAAAGCGGTGCGTCAGCCGCCATTTTTGAGCGGGGCGACGATTCCGACACTAGTTTCAATGGGAGGGTCTGGAGACCTGGTTGCTATGCAACGCGTACGCTGCCCTTGTTTTCTAAAAGAGAGATTAGGTTTCTAGTTAAGTTCTTTCTGGCTTGGGGGGATGGGGGGGGGTCGTGTGAAGGGTCCAATCACAGCATCCGAAACGGCGTTACTAGGCAACGCTTTAAGGTTGCAATCAACTCTGAAGGGAGTGCAGCTGTTTTTCCCACCCTGAAAAGAAGCCGAACTCCAACCCAAGTGGAGGTTGCTAAGCAACACCTGCTAGTTGTTTTCCGGGAGAAGAGCCAGAAACTGGCCTAGAACATAAATACGTTCCAGGTGGATTAAAAATGTAAATGTAACAAATGAAAGCATAACCCTGTGTAATCCTGAAGACTGGAAAAAGATTTTCTTATCATTACAGCAAAGCCGGAGAACGTAAAATATTGAACTGTTTGCATAAGACTCCATGAACCAAGTTGAAAACGATACTGTAAACTGGGAAAGTCATTGTAACTACATAAATACATGTTACTAATCAATAAAAACTAAGGAAAATAGAAATACTTGATTTTTTTAATGGGGAAGAAAACTAAGCAGGCTTTTCTCACACGCAAAAAATATTAAAAATAGCAAATATCTGAAAGCCGCTCATCTTCACCAATTAAAAAGTGCTAACAGAGAGTCCAAAGACATAGCATTTTACCTTTGTAATGTTAATTAAAGTTGGAAATAATAAGTCCATTGGGGTGGGAGGGTTTGGGTGAAATGAGCCAGCTCAGAGGTGATCTAGTGGGGGTGGAAACCAAAACGACTTGCTCCAATGCAGTTTGTCAATATATTTCAAGGTAAAAGAGTGCATTGCTTTGCACTCAGCAGTATCACCATTTTGTCACATGTACTTTATCGATCCCTTTTTTCTTTTTTCTTTGATGAACGCTTTTAAAGCAAATCCCAACATATCATTTTACTTCTACATTCTTGACAGGCATCTCTAAAAAGATGGAAATTTTTGCACATAACCACTATGCCATTAACACCCCTAACAAAATTGTGTTATTTCTTGGTATCATTGAACATTTAAATCCATAATCAAATTTTCCCAATTCTCTCAAAATGCCTTTTTACAATTGTTTTATTTGTATCAAGATCCAAACAATGACCAAACACGTATTTAGATGGCTTAAATTTCTTTTAATCTAAAGCAGCTCCTTTCTTTTTTATGCTAGTGTAATTAAATTTTAAAAAATTATAAGGAAGATAAAAGTAAGTTGGAGAAAGGCAAAATGATAAATAGGTAAGGAGATTAAAATGGTACCTAAAATTCCCTCCTAACCATAAGGAAACTTTTCTTTAGATAAGCTGAATGCGTGATTGGCTCCATTAACTGATTTTTAACCATTTCCATTAATGTATTACAAACGATAAGTTAAACAATGAGATATTTTAGCCTGGACTTCAGCTTCTGGCATTATGATACATTAGGTGATATGACATTGTTTTTGTGACATTGGTGGATTCATAAGAGGTATGGGTAGTCTTCAAGTATCTTCCCTCCCCCACAGAGGAAACAAATTTAAAAAAAGATGCAGTTGGAATCGAACTTCCTGCCCCAGATGGGACTGCACTGGCATTACCAAGAGCCTGAAGCCAGCTGTGATTTGTAAAACTTCAGTGTAGTTCCCCAGCTAAGCAAGAGCCGTCCAGGGCAGCTGATCTAGTTCCAGGATAGTAACACTCCTGACAACCTGCAGAAGTAGAAGTGAATCCTCCCTAGAGGACTCTGATCAATATCACAAAGACCACCAGCACAGAAGTAAAGATTGAAATTAGAGTCCACAGAAACAACAGTTAACAGATGAAGGTCCCCCACCTCCAGGTACTGGAATTGTCAGGTTCATAATGAACCACAATATGCAAAATAATAGGATAAATAAAGGACATTAAGTTGTCTCCTGCTGTGTAACAAATTACCCCAAATTTAGTGGATTGAAACAACAACATTGTTACTTCGCAGTTTCTGTAGATCAGGAATCCAGGCATGGCTTAGCTGGGTCCCCTGCTTCAGAGACTATAATCAAAGTGTCAGCCAGGGCTGTAATCACCTCGAGGCACAACTAGAAAGGACCTTCTCTCATACTCATTCTTGTCATCGTTACCAGGGTTCAGTTCTTCACAGGCTATTGGCCAGAGGTTCCATGTGTCACCCACCAGGGTCCTTGGACTCTTTTTTTTAAATAATTTTTAAAACTTTATTTTATTTTTAGCTGCATTGGGTCTTCATTGCTGTGCGCTGGCTTTCTCTAGTTGCGGCGAGCAGGGGCTACTCTTCGTTTCGGTGCGCGGGCTTCTCATTGCGGTGGCTTCTCTTGTGGAGCACAGGCTCTCAGCGTGCGGTCTTCAGTAATTGTAGCACATGGGCTTAGTAGTTGTGGCTCATGGGTTCTAGAGTGCAGGCTCAGTAGTTGTGGCACACGGGCTTAGTTGCTCCGCGGCATGTGGGATCTTCCCGGACCAGGGCTCGAACCCATGTGCCCTGCACTGGCAGGCAGATTCTTAACCACTGCGCCACCAGGGAAGCCCCCTTGGACTCTTTAATCAATAAAAATTGATAAAAGGCCAGACAAGAAATTCAGGCAAGCCTTTATTGGGACTCTTGCTGCAGCAGGAGGGAGCGAAAACAAGAAAGAGGTGCCCTTGTTTGCTCCGTGAAGGGGAGCAAGCCGGTTCCTTAAATGGGGTGAGGGGAGAAACAGTTTTTCGGTAGGAAGTACTTCAGGCAGTAGGAAAATTTTAAATTAACCTGCAAAGATTATCTGAGAGACAAGAAGGAAGAGGGAGAGCAACATGAGTCATAAACATTTACGTAATTACAAATAAATATTGCCTGCATAAAATAAGAGATATATTCAACGAGGGCATAAGAAAAGTAAAACTAAAATGCTGACAACACTAGTTGGTTAGTCTGGGAGGGAGCTTAACGGAGTTAAGGTGTTATATTCTCTTTGTATTATTTGAGAGAGGGTTTAAGATCTTTAACTTTTTGCTGAATTAGATGTGTAAGGTAAAGTTTCAAGGATAACCAATAAAAATAAAAGAGAATTCGTGTATAACTTTGAAACCAGAAGAAAGAGAAAATAATGAACTGAGGAAACAAACAAACAAAAAATCCAGTAACAGATAAGAATGGAGGAAAAAAGCGTTGAAAAGGCAGAACAAGAAATATAAAAATAAAACAATAGAAATAAATCTAAATATATCAGTAGAAAATAAATATAAGTGGACTAAAGAAAAAATACATAGAACTACAGGGAGAAATTGATATGTTAGTTCATTTGTTATTTTATGCAGCTTTTCCTCTAGTTTAATGTAATTCAATGTGCAGGGTAAATGTCTTAATATTTCTTATCAACTATTAGAAATCAAATCCAGAGTGCAGACAAAACATGTTTAAAAGAAACAAATGTGGGCTTCCCTGGTGGCACAGTGGTTAAGAATCTGCCTGCCAATGCAGCGGACACAGGTTCCATTCCTGGTTCGGGAAGATCCCACATGCCGCAGAGTAGCTAAGCCCATGCACCACAACTACTGAGCCTTAGCTCTAGAGCCTGCCAGCCACAATTACTGAGCCCACGTGCCACAACTACTGAAGCCTGCGTGCCTAGAGCCCGTGCTCCGCAACAGAGAAGCCACAACAATGAGAAGCCTGCGCACTGCAACGAGGAGTAGCCCCCGCTCACCGCAACTAGAGAAAGCCCGCGCACAGCAACGAAGACCCAACACAGCCAAAAATAAATAAATAAATTTTTAAAAATAAATAAAAAATAAAAGAAACAATTTTTTTTAATATTGCTATATATTTTGTAAATATATTTGGATAAATGAGGGCAACTGTTCTCACAAAAGAGAAAAGATCTAGAAAATCATAATTCAAAAAGTCATGTGCCGCAATGTTCATTGCAGCACTATTTACAATAGACAGAACATGTAAGCAACCTAAGTGTCCATCGACAGATGAATGGATAAAGAAGATGTGGCACATTTATACAATGGAATATTACTCAGCCATAAAAAGAAACGAAATTGAGTTATTTGTAGTGAGGTGGATGGACTGTCATACAGAGTGAAGTCAGAAAGAGAAAAACAAATACGGTATGCTAACACATACATATGGAATCTAAATGGTTCTGTTGAACCTAGGGGCAGGACAGGAATAAAGACACAGACGTAGAGAATGGATTTGAGGTCGCGGGGAGGGGGAAGGGTAAGCTGGGACAAAGTGACAGAGTAACATTGATATATATACACTACCAAATGTAAAATAGCTAGTGGGAAGCAGCTGCATAGTACAGCGAGATCAGCTCGGTGCTTTGCGACCACCTAGAGGGGTGGGATAAGGAGGGTGGGAGGGAGGCGCAAGAGGGAGGGGATATGGGGATGTAGCTATGCATGTAGCTGATTCACTTCGTTATACAGCAGAAACTAACACAACATTGTAAAGCAATTATACTCCAATAAAGATGTTTAAAAAAGAGAGAGAGAAAAGATCTAGCTGACTAAATTGATAACTTAATGAAGATTTACTTCATCACTTTAAACACACAGAGGTGAGAACCTAAAGCATATCAGCATAGGATAGGCTAAATCTATTTTGTTACATCTATAATATAGGTTAGAATAGGACATTCAAAAAAGACGAAGTGGGGTTTCCCTGGTGGCGCAGTGGTTGAGAGTCCGCC